CAAAATTATGTGTACTATAAAAATTTCCAATCTAATTTTCTTAAAACCTATTACACCTAGACATATGGTTTATTTTGAGATTTATATTGAAAAATAGTGTAGAATATTTCTTCCTTTAATACCTTCCACCTAAAATGAAATTTTATGTTACTTTCAGGCGTCAACTTGAAAAAAAGGCCAGGAAAAATTGATCCTTGGTGACTTCTACTAAAATGTGCTGAAGAATATTTTTGTCTTTGAGACTTTATCCAAAAAATCGATTATTAAGGGTGATATTGACTAAGAATGGAAATGTGTTAAATTATCATGTAAAAACAGCAAACACATATTTTTCACTTGTAGTACACAAATTTAGATATATAGTTTATTCTGAGATTTATTGTGAAATTTAGTGTAAAATATTTCTTCCTTTAACATCTTCCACCTATAATAAATTTTTATGTTACTTTCAGGCATCGAACTCGAAAAAGGGGCGAGGAAAAATTAATCAAAAATATTACGAAATATTTTCGAGTTTTTTAGGCAAATTTGTTTGAAGTATTTTCTGGATATACAATGGATATGCGGATTTCTTTTCCGTGGTGACTTATAGTAAAATATTGTGAAGAAAATTTTTTTCTTTGATATCATCCTTCTAAAACGATGCTTTGTTGGAGATTTTTACATAAACTCCCACAAAGTTGGGTTTTAACCCTAAAATGTATTTTTAATAATACCAGTTTCCCTTAAAAATTTCAAACAATCTCCAAATCGGTATTTTTCTCTTTAATTCCTTTCTCTCTCTAATTTTTTCATTTTTTTTTAATTTAATTTAATTCAATTTAATTTCCAAAACATTTGTTTCAATTTGCTACCATTATCTCCAACTCCATTTCGAAACAAAAAAATATAAAAATAAAAACAACAACTTTCAATGTTTACAAAACTTTGCGTTACGCTTGAAATCTTGCGCACTTTTCAATTTCAATTCATTTTCAGTCCTGGCTGGCTGGATGATTGCCTCCCCGACTGCCTGCCAGCCTTCCTCGCTAATTTACTTTCAAAAAAGTAACGCACATTTTCTGTTATGTGTGCAATGAAATTACTTTTGACTCACAAAACTAATTCGTTTAGTGATTTAAATAATAAAAATAAATTAGGTAAAAGCAAGAAAAGAGGAGATAGGCAATGGAGAATAGAGGAAAAAAAGAGAAAGGGCGGAATTTTCAATTTGTATAGAAGTAGTGTTTGTTTTCAAGTGATTAAATGAAGGAGATTCAGGAAATAATTTAATTTGGAGAGTATTTCAGGGGATCTGTTTTGAAAAAGGCAGAGAATTTTAAAACTGCTTGAACTCGTGCTCACAACTGATTTCTAGTGGTAAATAATGGTCTTATAAGAGGTTATCTTTCCAAACACCCAGAAAATGCTATTTCCGTGACTCTTTATAACCAGCTAAGGTTTTATTCCGAGTTCTTTCCGAATTCGGTCCGAATGTCTGCTGAAATTTTTGACTCTAGTTCCGAAATTTCTTTCGATTTCGGTTATATAAAAAATAGTCACCGAAAACGGAAGATTTACTAAGAAATTTCTAAAAAAAAATATATATATATATATTTGAGTTTCCAGAGAAAGGCAATACTTTGAACATCCGCAGAGATACGCCATTTGAAATTTTTTAGAGATTTTTACAATTTACGGGATTTCTGTCGAATTTGAAAGAGAATTCTTTGAACATCCGCAGAGATTCTCTATTTGGTATTTTTACGAGTGTATTTAGGTAATCGCCAAAAAACGCAGGAAATAGTCCAGAAGTTCCTTAAAAATAAGAAAATCGGTCCAATTTTTAGTAGAAATTTAGAGAAATCAATAAAAATGAATAAATGAGAAATCTAGGGAAAAAATCTAAAATCGGAGCCCACGGGACAAAAATTGTTAACTGGGTAGCTTCTTTACGAAGTATTCGAGGGGAAGAGCCAAAGTCCTCAAGCTGATGAAGATCCACATTTTTTAAAATATAGAAATACTAATAATCCTCGGCCAAAATATGAGCTCAATTGGTTTTTGGGATCTCTGTGAGCTTTCTATAGAGAAATCTGGAATACAGTCAGGACTTAAAACATAAAGAAAAAAATGCTTAATCAGGTTAAAGATATGACGGATTTTTGTTCTACAGCTAAAAGTAGGGTGCTAAAATCCACACGAACTAAAGCTGGTGTATAAAGAGTAATTAAATTTTAAATATCGCAGAGAAGGCTTTCCAGATAATGGAGATCACAGTGGAATGATTGTCTTGTGACGATTTGCAATGAAACTCCGACGCAGTCAAAGAGGCCTAGGCTCCTAGTCCCTCTCCTAAATGTTATATTTTAGGATATATTTAGAGCCTTGTGCTTGAAAATCCAACTCGGCCGAAACCGAAAAATGGGATTTTTCTCGTTTTGATTTTTCTAGTGCCAGGAGTGCTCCCGCTTCATAATTCGCTGTGAAATTTTAGAGGATAATTATTGAAATGTACAGATTTATGAAGCCCTATTTTTCAAAATATACCAAATTTCTACAAATATTAAAAATACTTCTCTAATCAAAACATTTTTCTTTTGGGAAAAACATTGCTATTTTCGAGTCCACCGGAAGGTCCTATATTAAAAAAAACTCCCTACCCTGGAAAATTATTTTTTTCTTCTTCCAAAATCGAAAATTGTATTGGACAAACATGTCAAAATTTGTAAGAAGCAACCCATAAAACATTTGGATCGAAAAAAAAATTAAAAAAATCTGAGGCAAAATATATCCAAGGAAGACAAACTTTTTAGAGATCTGGTAAATATTTCTAAAAATATGTTTCTGAAATATTTTTGCTGAATATATCCTTTTTGGACCCCTAAGAAATTTCTTCTGTTTCGCAGAAAATTTAAATTCAATAAATTTTCCAGTGTTTTTATTTCAAACACTATCCATAATAAATCAGTTTGAAAAAAAAAATAAGAAAAATTTCTTTTTAGCGAAACTTCTTACGCCTTTTTAAAGTCTTTACTTTTGAAAATTTGAATTCTTATGAAAATTATTTCCAAGGAAATAAGTTTCTATGAAAGTTTCTAAAATCGTTTTGCAGAAAATATCCCTTATGAAGACCATAACACTAAATCCTCTTCTAAATCTCGAATAAAAATTTTCAGATTTTTCATCATCAGGTGCATGTGTTTCAAACCCTTTCACGAATACAACTTTTATTCAAAGTCCTAGATTACTTTTTATCAAGTCTTGGAATAAAGAGGAGAAGAAAGAGGAAAAAAAATCCAATCCTGTAAAAGTTTTTCAAAACCATAAAAATACTCATTTCTTATTGAAATTACTCAAAATATCCCCTTTTTTCTTAGAGCAAGAAAAATATTCAATCCTGATAGCGTTTTTTAAAACTCAGATACAGATTTTTTAAATACTTCTTCGAAATTATCTTCCTTAAAAAGTTCTGGGTTTTTATTAAAAAAAAATCTGTTCGAAATATTGATTTTCAGTAAAGCGAAAAAATATTCGATACTGAGAAAAAAAAAATCAAAGCCCAGGGATTTGGAAAAATCTTATTTTTAAACCTTAAGATTTGATTAAAACTTCTCATTTTTTTTTAATTATAAGGAACAGGAAATTAAACCCCTTCCCTGGATGTATCTCCCTTTAAAAAGCCTGAGTTTTTATTTAAAATATTCAGAATATTCCTTTATCTCTAAGCGAAAAAATCTCAAAAAATCTTCAAATCTCTAGGATTTGTTAAAAAATCCAGCTCTATATTTATCAGGCACAGATTTTTCAAATCCTTTCTTGAAATTATATTCTTCCTAAAAGGTTTTCAGTAAAGCGAAAAAAATATTCGATACTGAAAAAAATTCTCACAGACCATGGATTTGGAAAAATATCATCTTTAAACCGTAAGATTTGATAAAAAGTTCTGATTTTTGTAAATAGCAGCTACAGGAAATTAGACCCCTTCCCCGGATGTATCTCCCTTTAAATATCCTGAGTTTTTATTAAAAATATTCAAAATATCCCCTTTTCTCTAAAATTCAAACTTTTGAATAAAAAATATTCAAAATGTTCATGTTTTTCTAATATCCAATTTGAAAGACCTTAGGGTTTAAAAAACCCCCTCAAAACCCTAAGATTTGATAACAAAAATTCAATTTCTATATTTATCAGGTATAGGTCTTTCAATTGGCTCTGGGTTTTTATTTAAAAAAATGTTCAAAATATAAATTTTCAGTAAAGCGAAAAAAATTTCGATACTGAACAAGGTTTTCAACGGCCATGGATTTGATAAAAAAAATTATTTCATTTTTTAATTATCTGCTGCAGTTTTTCAAAACCCTTGGATGTACCTTCTATTAAAAGTCCAGGATTTTTATTAAAAAAAATTTGAAGGTGTTTTTTAAAACCAAAAACGATGTTTTATAATCTTAAGATTTGTTAAAAATTCTGATTTTTCTGAAAGATTTCATAACAATTCTCAAATTATTATTATTTATTTATTTGTTTATTTATTTATTTTTTTTTTTTTGGAAAATGTAAAAATCTTTCAAATCCTTTGGGGGAATGTGTTATTTTTCAAGAATTAATTTTTTCTATTTTTAAAGCATTTAAAAAATATTATTTTTTTTATTATTTTTTCATCGAACTTTCCTTTCCTCTTTCTGTTCTCCCTATATTTATTTCGAATACATTTTTTTTACAAAAATTTCAATTCGTTCCCGAAATTATTTTCATTTGGCAGATGCAGCATCTGCGATGGTTTATGAAACATTAAAACTAAGATTTATAAAATTTTAAACATTCAAAACCTTTTCTATTTTCTCAAAATCAATTTCAGGTCCTTGGGAGGTTTTCACACTTCATCCTGCCATTTAACACATTTTTCCCTGTCCTCATTATCCTTTCAATTCATGTTTACACTTCACTTTTCCCATCCCTGTTCGCGTCCGTGCCGACGGTAACTTTAAAAAAATATTCCTTTTTTGTTCTCCACTTACCTTCCACTCTTCGTTATGACCATTTCCGTGCCAAGTTTGTGAAATTTCTCCCACAGCTCCTTGCCCTCCAGCGTCACCTTGGGATCATCGACCACCCCATCCTCCTCCGGCTGCAGGGCACGCAGCGGACGCATGGCCGGATGCAATTGATGGGCCACCGCTGAGGCTAATACCACGTCTTCGGCGGTCGTATAGGCCGTGCCCAGCGGATGGTGGTGATGATGCGGATGGTGGGGCGGAAAACGTAACGGGCCTGGATACAAACCCGGATGCGGACCCGCAGGACTACCGGCTAGGGCGGCCAGGGCAGCTGCTGGGAAATACGGTGGCTGTTGAGGCAAATGAGCTCCTAGGTGACCAGGTACTGGTGAGTGATGAGGATGTGTGGGTGGGGGCGCTTGAGCTTGGGGCGATGAATGCGGTGGTATGGCGTGTCCCGTTGAAGCGGCGGCGGCCGCAGCAGCAGCTGCCACAGCAGCAGCCGAATGTGAGGCACTCAGTAAAGCCGACGGCAAATTGTTGTTGTTGTTGTTAGTATTATTGCAGCTGCTGGCCGTTCGCGAGGGATTTGTGGCCTCACTGCTGTTGGTGCTGTCGTTGGAACAGCTCAACAATGGAGGATGATTCCGGGAGGGTATTCGACAATTGGATGATTCGTTGTTGTTGTTGCTGTGGGACTCTTGGCCCGGCGACAGCTGAGGCGGTTGCTGGCCACCAACTGGCGATGACTGGCCACCTCCAATGCCGGCCAAATGATGGGCTTGTTGCTGTTGGGCACTTGCCAGATGCCGGGGCGGTGAGGTGGCGGCCGGAGGCAAAACGGCAGCAGCGGCCACGGATGACGATGATGAGGATGTGCCACTGGAGTCGACGGATACGGCCGACTGCGTTGTCGTTTGATTTCCCGCCGTCAACAGCGAGGACACGCTGAAGTCAGTGGGTCGAGACAGTTGCAGAAATGGGTGATATGCCATACCATTTGCGAACCTGGCGAATGGATCTTCAGCTGACTGGTGAAGCAACTCCTGGGTATCGTATCTCATTACATTACATTCGTTGGTCAGGAACTGGGAATGAAATATCGGAGGCGATAAATGGACACTGGTTAGGTGTTTGGATTTTGTTGTTTCAAAATTGCTTGTTGTTGTTGGGTTTTTTTGTTTAAAAGAATTGCACAATATTTGTTGTTGTATTTGAGAAATTGAATTGAATTGCTTGGTTTGCTTTGTTTCAAAATAATTTTTTTTTTAATTTTTTCTGCTTAAAATAAATCACAATTATTTTTTTGTTTTGTTTTCTTGCTTTTGTTGTTGTTTTAACTTTTGTTGTTGTTTTAATCACATTGGCATGGAATTTATTTATTTTTGTTTTTTTTTTTTTTCTCAAATATTTTTTCTTATTTCTCGGGGGTTTTATTTAGTCAAAATTTTCAATTGACTGGCGTTTTTTGTTGTTAAAACCGTGGCCAAAACCCTTTTTGGTTTTGCGTTTTTGTTGTTGCTTTTCGATAACCCCACCGTGGTTGTTGTAGGCTGTAAATTTAAACAACACGAAATTCCATTTAAAAAGTAGACAAAACTAAAAGAACAACAAATACTACGTCGTCGTCGTCACGTCGTGTCAATACGTTGTACACCACCGATACGAGCTTAACGCCGGTCGCTTGCAAACTGGAAATACACACACAAATCAGAGTAGTGCAACCCCCAGAGGTGCGACGTGCGACAACACTCACACACACACAGTCAAATGGCATGGTGTGCAGCAGGGCAACACTCACACAGCAAAGCGTGAGGTTTGAGCAAGAGCGAAAGAGTGTTTATGAGTTTTAAATGAGAGGGCAATTTGAGAGAGTGTTCCAAGAGAGGAGAGTAACCGGTTTAATAAGGGTTTTCCAATTGGAACTTGGAATCACTCAGTCAAAGGTAAACCCTGAGTGTGATTGTGTGTTTCCCCAAAGAGAGAGAGTTGATTTTGGTTTGAGAGAGAGAGAACGCTTTTGGTTGACAAATTTTATTTAGGAAACAAAAAATCACAAAAAAATACGGCAGACAGCCACTAAAAAAAGTTAAACATTAAAACAAAGTATTGGGATTTGAACTAGAATTGCTGGGCCACCTACCGTCGCAATTGTGGGATTTGCCAGGGGTTGGTGTTCTTGTTGTTGCTGGCTAGTTTGGTGTTTCGGGGCGTGAAAAAGAGACAGACTTATAGCACTATTCAGGTGACAATAAGTGAAAACATTATTACCAACACATGGGGTACACTCACACACTCTCACATGGACACTTAAGAGGCAATGCTCTCTAAACAGCAAGATATTTTTTGTTTTTGCAAGAATCCCAACGTCTTCTGCTCCAGAGGAACAACAAAAAAACCTGGTTTTTTTTTTTGCTGGGGTGACAACTTCTCACACTTAAAATGACAAGACATATTTCCACTTTGCCGAATGGCGCCCAAGTGTAAACGAGACAGCTTTATTTATTTAATCGGTTAGCTGGGCCAAGGGAGAGGAAGGAGGACAAATCTCTGGCTCATCTGCCAGAGATTAGAAGAGGCAATAACGTTGAGAAGGATATCCAGGAGTAGCATGAGATAACAAGGATTTTTGTCACATAGCCACCTAGGCAGATGCTGCTCTCTAAAACTTGTCGTGAACAAACATTGTCACCTTTGGCTGGCTGGAGAGAAGATGACAAACCCCCCTCTACGTCCTTAAGAAAAAAAATCACTTTTTTGGGGCTTTCTTAATCTGTGTGCCCCAACAGCAACAGCAACAACAACGTCAACGGCGACGACAATGTCTTTGCCAGCCATGTGTTATGGGAGCGAATGAAAAGGCGACACTTTTGCTGCTTAAAACCCAACGAATGGCATGGATCCAGCAGCAGCAACAACAACAACACGACAACGCTGACGGCGACAAATGGTGAACAACTTATGTGACAATTCCATGAGAGCGAAAGAACAAGACGTAACATTTCTAATAAGCGTAAATATACACAAAAGGAAACTTGTGTTCCACACAGCTACACACACAGCCAAGCAGCTATCGTTGCATGGGTAAACAAATGGCAAACCCTCTAATTCACACACACACACACTCACCCAACGAGCAACACACTTAAGCCGAGACATATCACAGCTACGATGACGATGATGACGACGACGACATCAACACCAATACCGACACCTAAAGTGTGTGAGCCAAAATCCCTAATCTGTGAGCAAGATTGTGTGACATGTTTTACCACAATTACACACACACACACACACAGAAATCCTACTCAAGCCCAAAAAGAGACTCTCAGCTCAGCCCAGAGATAGCAGCAGTTTACTTGAACGACAAAACATTTGGCTCCCCTCTACAATGTGAGCACAAAAACAAAAAAACATACAAACAAACAAGTCTCATAAAGAGCTGAGACAAAACGCACACACACACGCACACTTGTACACTTACTCAAAAGTTGACACCGTTGGGCTGGATGGCTGGATGGCTGGCTGGCTGACTGTGTTTGCTCTTTATAACCCTATAAAATTCATTGGAGCGAAAGGGACAAATGCGACATCAACACCATTCGCACAGACGACCCAGACACACTCTCCACCATTGTGCCCACGTACACACGCACACACACACATGCATGCACTCTGAGAAACACTTACTCTCCTTTATGGCCTTACCTCTCACCAAACGACCAGCCACTACAAAACAAAAAAAAAAACGATATCACACAACAAAAGAAAAACAAAAAAGTAAACAAAGCAAGCACAAACTAAAAACAGCGTCAAAATAACAACAGCAACAACAACAACAACAACACAGAGTAAAAAAGAAGATGTAAGCCCAACAACACTCACTCAAAATGGTGTGATGATTTAGATTCTTTTGACCAACCAAAGGCGCGGGAACAACAACGACGCGCCATTTAACACATTCACACAGACACACACTCGCGCACACACACACACAACAGCACAAGGAGAAACCAAACAAAACACGAACGCCAATCTTCCAAGGAAAGAGGAAACGGAGAAGACGAAGAAGAAAAAAGGTTTGATGGCAAACTGGTTGTAAACTACAGTTTGGCCAAATAGGCAGGCGGGCAGGGAGTGTGGAAGGATGAAGTTGGATGACTGGCTGGCTGACTGTTTGCTTGGGCTTTTCAACGCTTTGCAGCAAAAAAGGCAATTAATGCCATAGACTAGTGTCAATTTACGCGCGGCATTTTACACAAAACCTAACGTGAGCCCAACAAAACACCGGCCAAACAGACACCAACACAGGGATACACAGACACACACACACTCACACACATTTGTTTGGATATTTGCAACACTCAAATGCAAACACATGCCCACACACACACACAGACGTACTCACACAAATTTGAATGCTGCTTTTCAGAATTCATTCATGTGCTGTGGAAAATAATAGCAACAACAACATCAGAGGGAAAATTGCAACAACGAAAAATGTGAGTTTTGCAAGGTGGGCAGGGGTTGGGGGGATCAAACGATGAATGTTAATCACGATTAATGAACACAAGTGCAATAAACTCACCACACCACACCACACCACACCATGCCCATGCTTTTGACATTACCACACCACACACACGTTTGGAACCGCTCTTCGTTTTTGGCGAGTGGGAGTGATGGAACGTTATTCTAACACCGTTTCCCAGCATTTGAGGTGGGAGGTGGTGAGCTCATTGAACCGTCGAGGTTCTCCTGCTAATAACATGTTCGTGTTAGAATTTGACAAGTTATCGCCTGGGTTTTTTTTGTTGCTGCGATTATAGATTAACAGATTTTCCTCTCATCCCCCAAAGTCCGCTTTTTAGAGGAAAGACCTTTTAGGTACATATCTCTTCTGAAGAAAAAAAGAACAAACGTTTTGTTGGTATTCAAGGAGATAAGAGAGCATCTCCGTAGAATAGCACCAGGTTATGTTGAGATACAAGACAAGAATTATTTTTAATAGAAGAACAGAAGTCCTTTTTATAAAAGAAAGCTGAAGGATCACTCGCAGAAGAGCGGAATGTCTTTTCTGAAAAGAGTCGAAGGTCTGAAAGAGGTCTCAGAGATAGCCCGAAAAAAACTGAAGATGTTTAATTTTTATTTTTATTTACTAGAGAGGAAAATACCAATCTTAAGAAGTCACAATATCTTCTCATAGAAGCCTAGAAGGTTTCTCGCAGAAGGCCAGGAAATCTTCTGATAAAAGCTATAAGGTCTTCTCATAGGGGAGCCGAGGGTAGTTTCATAAACGAGACATAATGTTCTTCTTATAGAAGCCCAGTTTAGCTTATCATATTGGGCCAGCATGTCCAGGATTTCATAGTTGGTCAGAGAGTCTTCTAACCGAAGTAAGGCCAAAGGCATTTTTAAAGGAGATAGCCAAAAGGCTAGTCCTTATCAGAGAAGAAAGTTAATGGACCTCTCGCAGAAGAGCAAAAGGTTTTTCTATAGAAGAGACGAAGCTCGAAGTGCCTCATAGATAACCCGAAAGAAATGAATTTACTTCATTATTATTTTAATTTAATTGAGTCTTGGCATTTCCATAAGAGGCCACAAGATCTTCTCAGAGAAGGTTTTTCATAGTACCCAGGAAGTCTTCTCATAGTGGTCCAGAAATTTTTCTCAAAAAAGCAAGTAGGTCTCCTCTTGGGAGAGTCGAAGGTAACTTCCTAAAAAAAAAAAAAAAAGATTTGATATTCTTCTCATAGAAGCCCAGTATATCATCTCATATTGGGCCAGGATGTCCAGGATTTTATAAAGGGCCAGAGAGTCTTCTTTTAAAAGACGAGCCAAAGGTATTTTCATAGAAAAGAGCTGAAGTCCTATCTCAGAAGAGACCAAGGTATTTTTATAGAAGAGAGCCAAAAGTCTTTTCAGAGAGCTTAGCTTTGTCCTGGAGATTTTTTTTTAATTTTAAAAAGAAATAAAATTTTCATTTCCGGTTAGCTACGTTGGGCTCCAATTCAAATTGTGGCATGGGAAGGAATGTCAAGGGTACTGCCTGGCCAAAATTAAAGCCATTTTTATCTGTACCAACATGGGATCCTGAATGCCGTCACCGTCAGGCTAGAGAGAAACCCTGTAAAAAAATCACAAATCATTTTTTAAAAAATACTTGGTCCTCCCAAAAAATATTCTCAAAAATTATACCCCGAATTATCCTTTAAAAATTAATTTTAATAAACTTCTTGCAAAATTCATGATTCGTATGCTCTTAAAAATTCAGGATTTTCGATAAGACACGTCTTCAAAAAATATTCAAAAAAAAAAAAAAAACAAAATTATTGATCTCATGGCTCTTAGAAATGTACTCAACGGAATTATAAGTCACATAGATCTCTAAAAAAAATCACAAGTTATTTCTTAAAAATACTAGGTCCTTCGAAAAAATATTCTCAAAAATTATACCCCAGATTATCCTTTAAAAAAAGTACTATTTTTAATTCAAAATTCTTAAAATGTATTCTTAAATTCTTCGTATTCTTTCAAGCATCCCTAGTTTGCA